AAAAAAATAATTCTACAGTCTTTAAAAAAACAAATCAGATAGCTGGTTCATCAAAACAGTGGCTCACACTTAATGAGGGTCTTTTTTTGTCCTGAGCACAATGCCAAGGGCTTTATATAAGTGTCCTCTTATTTTCACAATGACACTGTAAATAGAAGAGAGTACAGAGATTTCAACACAGTGCCTACAGCCGTGCAGCTGAACGGCAGCCAACACACTTATCAACTGCCTGCCTGACCTCACAGAAGTCTCTATAACATAGTTGCTGTTGCTAAATTCAGAACCACAGTCTTAAATGATTTGGAAAACCATTTTAGGGAAACATCCTATAAGATGGAATAGTCAAATAAAATTCTAGAAAGGACACTTCAAAGGTTTTTGCAACTTCCAAGTATGACAGCAGCAGCTACCATCAACCAAATTTTTGAAGGAAATGTAGTCCCATAAAATGTCTTTTCACCAAAGTATGAGTGTGCAGTATTTAAAAGAGAAAAACCACGGAATCACCCTCTGACTAAAAATAATAACAACAGTGACAGATATCGGGAATGGAATTTATTTCCAAGGACGGATCCCAAATCAAGACTTTGAGAATGATGTCATCCTTCAGTTCCTCTAGACACTACCAAAAGATTAAGGAATCTGGGGCACCCAGTAGAAAATCCAAAACTGGATGTGATAAGCAAAGCAAGTCTCATTCCAAGGTTGCCGCAAACCCAGAAAATGGGGAGCAGATGAGGAGGTCCACTGTGACCTCTGCTTATCTAAAAAGACTCATCCAAGTAATAAGTGGCTTACAACAAGCTTTCTTCTAGAAAAGGCCAAACATTACCCAAGCCTGCTGATGCAGCCCAAAAGCAGCCATAGATAAGACAGACAAGAATAAACATGGCTGTGTTCCAATAAAACTTTATTTGTGAAAGTGGGCAGAGGGCCAGATGTGGCCCATGGGCTGCAGTTCGCCAGTCCCCACACTAGAAGAACAGGTTCCCCGCCTGAAGGTTCGGCGCCCCAGCACTGGCATGGAGCCAAAACAAGCAACTTGCAGTAGCTGAAAGCTGGGACAAGATGGCATTCATGCTCTTGTCCCATCTCCACCCACAAGCTGAGGCTCTGAGGGGCAGGATCACAAGGAGCATTTCTAAGGCGGCTCACTTCTTTTTTTAAAGCAAGATTTATTGAGAGGACAGAAAAACTCCAGAGCAGGAAGGGACCCAAAGAAGTTGCCCAGTGGCTCACTTCTAATACAAGCATGTATGCTTCCCATTTGGAAGTCAAGAAATTATGAAAATAAAAATACTGCGTTTTGGTAATTCAACAATAAAGGGAACTTGATGACCTACATACGATTTACATTAAAGTGCTTTATTTCTTTTCTTTCTTTTTTTTTGAGTTGGAGTTTCACTCTGGTGGCCCAGGCTGGAGCACAGTGGCACGCTCATGGCCACCACAGCCTCGACCTGCTGGGCAATCCTTCCACCTCAGCCTTCCAAGTAGCCGGAACTATAGGCGTGTGCTACCATGCCTGGCTTTTTTTTTTTTGTGGGGATGAGATCTCGCCAAGTTCCCCAGGCTGGTCTCAAACCCCTGGGCTCAGGCAATCCTCTCGCCTAGGCCTCCCAAAGTGCTGGGATGATAGGCTGAGCCCCTACGCCTGGCCAAGCACTTCATTTCTAAAGTCTAGTTCAATGGCAATATTGATTTTATTCACTACAGCTCTTGTCATAGGTGCATAATCCTGTTTTCATAACCGTGGAGGCTAGGTGTGGTTGAGAATTAATAATTTTTTGGATATGAGAAAGGTAACACTGTGCCCACACTGACCACCAAGTGCGGGGTGCAGAGGGAGCACCTATGAGTCCCATCCTGCTTCTGAGGTGGAGTGAGTTGACAACAGGGCTTTGTACAGGTCAAGTCAGATTTTGCCGCGACATGAGAAATAAAAAAACAAAATAAAAACCTTTTGGTTCAGAGCTTTTTAGATGTTAAAACTGCAATCAGCCATAGGTCTCTACTAACAGCCGTCCCCCAAGACCTCCCATATCTGGTCTAATAAGTCTAACCACCCACAGGCCCGCCAGGCCCTGCAGCCGTCTTCTTTGTATCATACGCTTCTCCAGACAGCAAACAGCCCCATCCCGCCAAAGACCACCTTCCCGCTCGCAGCACTCAGTGTAGCACAATCCTCTGCCTTGGAGGCCTCCTTTGCTCTCCCTCCTGATGTCCTGTTTCATTTGCTTCAGAATTATTACCATTATTTACAGCTAACTCATTTCCAGTCGTTCCGTCTCTATCTCTTCCACCAAGGTTCCGAGAACCCCAAAGATTTGCCTGCTGAGCTCAAAGTTGACTCCCAAGCTCCCTGGCACCTGGCTGATGCTCAATTAACATCCAAAACATTAAACACTACAGCCCGTGACTATGTTTCTAAAGTATGGCTGACCTAGTGCTGGGTCATTTTCACCCGTTTCCTCTAAGCCTCAACAGAACCCTGACACAACTGACCCTTTTTTACCAACAGGGAAACTGATGTAGGAGAAAGTTGAATGATTTCTCCAAGATCATAGGACTATGATGCATCACATTTTAAAGGAATAACCCAAATCTTAAAAGTGAAGCAGGGGCTGGGCTCGGTGGCTCAGCCTGTAATCCCGCAATTTAGGAGGTCGAGGTGAGTGAATTGCCTGAGCCCGTGGGTTCGAGACCCGCCTGGGCAACTTGGCGTGACCTCATCTCCACAATAAATCAAAAAAAATAGTCGGGCGTGGTGGTGAACTCCTGTAGTACCAGCTACTTGAAGACTGAGGCGGAAGGATCACCAGAGCCCAGCAGGTCGAGGCTGCGGTGGCCAGGAGC